AAATAAACTTTTAATCTACAAGACAATACTGAAACCTATCTGGACCTACGGACATGAACTATGGGGAACTGCTAAACATTCGAATATCAAACGCATCCAATCCTTCCAGTCCAAAGTACTCAGAACAATAGCCAATGCCCCATATTATGTCACAAATAAGACCCTCCACCATGACCTTAACATCCAATTTGTCCTCGACATTATCCCATCCGGATTCTCAAACTTTCACCAGAACCTTATCCATCATCCAAATCCTCTAGCTCAATCCCTATCCAGCTACATTTGCTGATGATACTGCCATTCTATCCTCTCACTCAGATCTTCAAATAGCATCTCAAAACCTACAATCTCACCTCTCCTTGATTGAGCAGTGGTGCAACAACTGGCGCATCAAAATCAATGAAGCAAAATGCAAACATATTACTTTCACCCTGCGACGCAGATCCTGTCCCACAATCCTTTTCAATTCAATACCACTTCCCTACTCAGATACAGTCCGTTACCTTGGCTTCCTTCTAGACAAAAGACTAACTTGGAACCCACATACGAGACTTAAAAGACAAGAACTTAACCAACGATAAGGCCAGTTACCAGCTCCCACCATCCCTATAATCCCCCTCGAAGGTTAAAACGGCAGTGGCCGCGAGATCTATTGTAAATATGCTTCTGGAGTCCTGGCAATGGCCAGCTTCTCCACTCAAGTCCTGAGCATCTGTGGCTCTAGTGCCCTCCTTCAGCCTCCACTGGTTTTTAATACGAGTGATGCGGCTGGAAAAGTGGCACTGGGATCTCTGAAGTCCTGCTTTCCTTTCCACATGTGGGGAGAAAAGCCTGGCTCGGAGATTCCTGGGCGAATGTATATATTGTATATAGGTATGAATGTGTTTAGAAGTTTTTATTTTATTTTGTTTGTTTGTTTATTTATTTATTTTATTTTTTTCTTCCTATTGATTTACATTTTTTTATAAGTATTATTTATTTACTTTTTATATTTATAGTTACTTCTGTATTACTTGTATATACTGTATGAATGAGAACTTCTAGCCTTAATACTTATATCCCTCCAACAGTGGCTGATTGTATTATTATTCAATAAAAAAATAAATAAAGAAATAAAGAAAATATCTCGATTCGAGATATATAATTGATCTACAATAAAAATGCATCGGACGCAAAATTTGATGCTCCAGAACTATGATTCTATGGGTTTTTCCTCTTAGGGAACTCAGTTCCATGTTACAGTGCCATTTATAATAATTTGTCTCAGTTTTTGACAAATTTGGCAAAAATCATCGTTGGTTAACCGTGGTTTTATACCTTACCACGTAACCAAATTATAAAGTTTATGTACTCGTTCGACGCACAATTTAACGTTCTTTAATTTATTAAGTGTACATTTTTTTCTTTGATGCATCATTTAGGAGTTTTAAGTGAAAAAACAAAAAAAGAATTCTGACTCTTTTGGCTGTAAAAAGTATACCCTTGGTAGCCCTTGTTAGCAATTTTGTTTTTTACATGTCTGAATCCATCTATACAAGTTAAAAAAATAAAAACTTTTCCCACATTTTTCGCAATGTATTTCCCGTTTCAATTCTCAAATTATAAAATTCTTTAAATATAATAATATAATAAAATATAATAATATTCTTTAAATCAGCCGCCAATTTTAAAACAGCGGATCTGAAATGGCAGACAAGGTTCTTTTTACTCACAGTAACATACACTTTCATAATTCACGATAAAACCTTCGCTTGCGATCAGGTCGATTTTTTAGCCCTGGCTATAACTCCCGACTCATCGAGTCCGGTTTGGTGAATATTCCCAGCAATGTTTGCAGAAGTTCGATATTCTATAATAAGTTAATTATTATAACCTTTGTTGACTATTTACAAAGCATTACATAAATTTTCAAAGGATAGAAAAATCATTGAGTAAATTTCAGGGTATTGCGCCTCCAATTGATAATTAGATTGGTCCATGAAGGACTTTTGCCTTTCCACAGCATGGTCTGATTACCACCCTATTGCAGTCCGTAAGCATAGCGGAGGAACTCTAAGGTAACGGCTTTTGTGCTCAACCATTTTTATTAATATATTTTTTATTTATTTTTTTACCATTATTACGTCAGCAAACAGCTTATAGACGAGTGGCTGCATTAATAAGGCAATAATGAAGCTTTAACGTTATTAAGCAATGTTAGGATTTTTTTAAACTAATATTTCGGGAAACATGACCTAACAAAGACATCAATACTGATGCCTCATACATTATTATTTACTGTGTCATCATACTATATAATTCCCCCAGTTTTGTTTTTATTTATTGAATATTAAAACGACCTGCCACACTCAAGGGCAGTATTATTCGAATTTTAAAACGAAGAGAGTGGTCAAAGTTAATTTTTGATTCGTCGATATTTGTAAAGCCTTACCATTTTGTTATAATAAGATGACCCGACTCAACTGACCATGATTATAGTTCAAATCTCTGTGCACTGTCAGACAAAAACTAAACAGAATGGAGATAACGAAAATATTTCAGTCGTCTTAAGGAACGAGGATAGAAATGCTGATAAAGTTTTATCTTTCCTTACCAATGTGAATTCATCTAAACAAATATTACGACCCAATAATAGTAAATAATCTAATTCATGCTGTTAATGAAACAGTTTATTCATTAAAATTTTATCTTTTTGCAATCTTTGTGGATATCTAAATAAATATTTGATATAGAAATATTTTGATTGGCTTTCGAATTCTAAAAACTAGTTCTTATATTATTTCGCTGATCTGTCGCCAAATTAACACAACTAACTCGATTCAAGGAACTATGGTTTTTGTTGAAATTGCTTCCTAGCGTCTTTTACTGACTGATGAGTTTGATCGTTTTTCGCTGTATACTTTTAAAAATGGTACTAAAAAGTTTTTAGAATATGAGTTGTGATCTGGTATAATGTTCTAGCATCGATACCGGAATGTTTTAGTAGAACAAACAAAGTTGTGGGGGCTCTTTCCTGTTCAAACTTTCATTATTTTTTATATTATCCTATATATTGGTGCTTGCTCAATGTGAATGATCAGTTTGCTGCGTGCTGGTGCTATCCAAAATATTTGAGCAGATGTATGCTGTTTGTCTACCGATTGCTGCATAGTTTTTTTCCATGCTGCAACATTGTTGGGTTGACTGCTTGTAGGTAAATAACGTTTTGTTGGGCGAACAGCTGGTTCCAATGTTTTGAGATCTCGTGAATGTTTTGAATCAATGTGGGCTGAAAACAGCAACAGATTGTTATGTAAAATATGTTCTATTCAATCTACTAAAAGGATCGAATAGTACATATCGATTTTTAAGTTCGATAGCTCAAATCAGTCCATGAAATTTTGAGAATATTTTAAAACTAGATGAGCTCAGAACATCGAAAAAATATTTGATTGTATTTCAAGAATTTTCAATTTTTGTTGGATTCATTCCATATAATGTTTAATATCATGAATCCTTATTGTTGTTCATATGCTTCTTTTCATATTTATTAATTACTTTATTATTATCTTATAAATTAGTACCTTCTTCTTTATCTTCCTCTCCGTGCTTTTACCCAGCGTCGAGTAGAAAAAAAATCGCATCCCATAAATTAATACCGCTGTATATTAATATCTATTATGCCACTTAGTATTTAATATATATTATTAATATATACAACGTTAGTATTGTATCATATTGAAATTGTTAAAAAAAAAAAATAAATGCGACCATTTAAAAATTATTTACTTATTCCCACCGACCGATAGATGTTGCCATATGGCCTTTCCAAATTATAACTATTGGTTAATAAACTCTAAACTAAAAAAAAACTCAACTCATTAGTACTACTTGAATTGTAAGCTAATTTTTATATTTTAATTATTATTTTTTTATAATTAGCCTTTACACCTAAGGATCATTGGCTTAATGTTTCCATTTTATATATCATTGATAAATAGTGAATATTCTATTAGATATTTGAACAGTTATTCTATTTCATTCTCCCCATCTTGCAGAATTGTTTTCATTTCCGTTCCCATTTGAAATTTTTTCCTTATATTGGTGTACCTTCTATATTCTAATAGTATATGTTTTACTGTTCTGGGTACTAGGCAATGTGTGCAAGTTGGAGCTTCTAATCCTCGCAGGAGGTATCCATGGGAAAACTCACAGTGGCCAATTCTTAGGCGACATAGTATCACTTCTTCTCGTCTAGACTTTCTGTTTGATAATTAATTTATCAAATTAATTATTAATAATTAATAATATTAATAATAATTATCAAATAATTAATTAATTAATTATTTGATAATTACTTTGTAAGCTAATTAATTTATTGAGATAGTAAAAACTTATTATTATTAACGAGAAAAATTAAAATAACTTACAAATAGCCTACAAAAATATTGGGCAGTTTGGCCTATATAACTGGTATTCATAGTAATCGGCATTTTGACATTTTGGGGGTATGGGCCACACTCTAAACGTCCAGATATATTTGTTGGCTACTCTTTTTTTCGATTTCATGATCAAATTATCTTATGATCTAAATGAAAAGTAAATGAGTGTTCATGATTTTTAGTACATCATCAAATTGATAAAGTTTACCGATGTCCATATTGAAAACTCTCCATTTCCGAGTATTTTCGTAAATAAAAATGTTGTAGGTTACGATAAGATAAAGTCATTCATGAAGTCTTAGACGGATGTTAACAGAATGGTAAAAAGTGGTCTTTACCGCGACTAGTCTGTATCTTTTTTTAAATTAAAATATAATTTATTTACTTTTACTTGATCATTTGACTGAATGTTTCAACCAACTTCTCTTCTATTATTTACTTCAGTCAACCATCAATCCACCATTATTTAATACATTTTTATTTCTCAGGTACGCACCTCCGTACCAAGAAGAAACTATTGGGAGAACTATGAGATGTACCGAATTACCTCCTACGATAACCGGACTGAAGGGGCGATGAATGGCAGCATTATTCACAAGCCACAAGGCCCCTCCGCCAACAGATGTGTGTTTGCCCAGTCAAGGCCGCAGGAAGGAATGCCGCACGCCACTACGACGCAGCAGACTCCATCGGTCGCTCCTAATGCCTGAGGGAACATTAGCTCCAGCAAGCGGCCCGCACAGACGCTTTAAGACCTCTCTCACGCCTTGTCCTCCAAGCCAGTTCTCAAGCCAGCTTCCTCAACAAGCGGGGTCACGTTTGTCTTAATGGCCTAACATTCCTTCTTCATCCTTAGCGATGGGTTTATTTAGGGATGGGCGATAGTCGATAGTACTATAGATATATCGACAATTGTCCTAGTGGCTATCGATAGTTCGTTGACTTAGACATAAATGATACTAAAATTTTATATACTTAAAGGGATAATTTTAATAAAACGCCTTCATTCTTCTACCCCTTTATTGATGTAGAAGATATAGTGATAATACAACAGTGTAAAATGTTTGATAATGCAAAACATGTAGTTGAAACTTCTTGGAAAGATGTAGGATGCTCGGTTGGCTTCTGGGTCATGCTGACCCGTTTTTCATCCTGTCTTGCAAGGAGTTGTATGTAGGCTGTTATAGTCATCATTTATCCTTTTTTAATAATGACTTATAATTATAATATATAATACATAATCAAATTATTATTTTTAATTAAGTACACCACTAAAGAATCCAGAAATTCTTTAAACGAGAATAATTCACATGGTATGCTGTACAGACACATTTTTATACAATTATTAACACTCGTCTAAAATTTTATCTTCTAGTAACCAAATATTTTTTTATTTACGAAAATTCTTGGAAATTTAACGTTTTCTATTTGGAAGAAGGCTGGGGTTAGTAAATTTCATAAACGCCCATTTCTATTCCACCTCAATGGTAAGTTAATTTGATCATGAAATCGAGAAAGATGCTAGCATACAAAAATATCGGTCCGTTTTGCTTTGGCCTATACCAACATGCCAACAAAACGAGGTTATATTGGCCAAATGACTCAATATTTTTGTTAGCCTCAGTTTTTTCTCAAAATAGATATTTATGAGTTAATTAATTAAAATTTTAAATTAATTCATTAATTTAGATTACTTAATTAATTCAGAAAACGCTCCAATTCTGAGAATTTTTAATTATAATTTGAAAAAAAGAGTCTACTGCTAACGCTGACTACCGCATTCTTTTCAGACTCCTCGGAGGTTTATCAGGAATTGAAGAGGAAGTAAGGTTAGAAACGATAGGGCTGGGATGATTCTGAAGTTTATCATGGAAGGATAGGTATCTGGATTGGGCCAGATCTCAAACATAAGAAACATTAAGGTCATTATAGATGGTTTTATTTGTAACAAAGTAGGGAGCATTGAGGATTTTGAATTGTAAAGATTGGAAACGAAAGGAATTCGATGGTTTAGTGGAACCACAGAGCTCAACTCCGTAAGTCCAAATAGGCCTTATTATAGTCATGTATATGAGTCTTTTGTAATTAATTGGAAGTTTAGAACTTTTGTCTAGTAAGTGCTGAATTAATCGGAATCGTCGAGCAGTTTCTTGTCGTTTCAGTCTGGTTGAGGATGGAACAGCATTTAAGCAATAGAAATAGTAATAGATACATTCATTAGTTTTATTTTGGTTTTAAAATTGATTGGTTAGTAAATATTGAAAATTGTATCCCTGGAAGTTTTATTTAATTCTGTGCTAGTAATAACTTTTGACATCTTAGAACGTCTGGTTTATGGATAAAAGTTATAAAACCTTCTGTAACGTTTCGTTTAAGTTTATTTAATTCACTTCATGTTAATGTTTAATGGTAAGCGCCATAAAATCACAATAAATCGTATACAATGTCTTAATCAATAAAGCTGGAAACCTAATACCAACTAATACCAAAAATCTAAGACAAAAAAAAAAAAATCAAGAGAAATAATAAGTGTAGTCACATCCAAACAGTTGCAAGAGTACCAGTAACGGAAAGCAAATATGAAGAGAAATTTGGAAGTTAGGAAGAGAGAGAGAGCCTTGGTCAGAATCAAAAAAAGAAGAGGAAAGGAAAAAAAAACGCAAACGTATTATTTATAATCTTATGAATCCACTTGCCTGTTATTAAAAATATATTTATTTTTCAAACGTTATAATTGTATTTTGTTTATCGTTATATTTTTTTCCTATAAAAAAAACCTGTCTTCAACTGATACAAAAAAGTGCCTATTGCGTCTTTGAAAAGTCTCAGTGTCGATTACTGTTACAAAATCATGTTTTATTGCCTCATTGTTTATCAGAATTTTCCATGTTTTCCATGAAAAATTATACAAACGGCCTATCTAAAGCACATATTTAGATAAGACACTAAATTTTGTTTAAATGAAATCCATTTGTGAAAATTCACCATCTGAACTAAAGCTGTAGTTCAAATTACCTTTTTTAAAATGAAATGAAATGAAAAAATAATTTTATTCTGAGACTACTGTCCCCTAAGAATAATAACAGAGTTACAAATTTATGTATCTTAGTCTGACATAGTAAAAATACCAACTAATTTATTGTTAATTGTTATTTCAATTTTGCAATTGATTGAAATTAAACATTGTATAGATACAAGTAATATTACATGTTAGGGGAAGTTTGAATGTGGAGTAGGTGTTGGAACAGGAGTTGTTTGAAGGAATTTGTGGATGAGGATTGACGCATCGAGGTAGGAAGTGAGTTCCATAAGGAAGCAGGGAATATATAAGTCTATAGGTTGAGACCTAGTATTGAGAGAGTGGATAGAGGAGCGCAGAGTAAGGAGTTCCAGGATGTAGGGAGGGTTTTTGGTTCTGAAGATTTGGAAAAGGAAAACGCCAAGAAGGAATTGTCGTCGGGAAGTAGGAAAAAACCACTTCAACTCGGTGTACCAGAATGAAACATGTGAACCTTATGTATCATTATCGATATGTGTATCTAAATATTACAGAAATGCTCTTTTAAATAATAGAATTCTATTTCGGTCATTACAGGAGTGGACAGTACCTGTGTTAAGTCCCATTTGCGTTAACACCAACAATCCCGACATTTAAGAATTGTATTTCGTTTATATCCATATTAAATTTTTACTGGGTCTTGCTACCAATACAATATGCACTGCTACAGTAACCTTTGTTTTCGAAAGCTGATCCTCAAACGGGATCTTCTTATACAGACCCTGAACCTTAAAGAAGTTGTTGACATTTAATTTCTGAGTGAAAGCATTTGGAATTTATGTTATTATTAAATAACGGTTTAATAAAAACTGGAAAACAGGATCGTCCGAATCGTGTCTGGTGCTTTATCCTTGACAAGGAAAAGTAAAATTTTTATCAGCTCAGAGAAAAAGGTTTTAGAAAATCTCATTAAATAAAATTGAGTACAAATTATATATTTATATTATTGATACGTATTCAATGAGTTTATTTTCTATAAAACTACTATTATAAAGTCTCAGAAAGATCGCATTAGTAGTCTGAAGAAAAAATTCAGGTAGTGATATTAATAATACTAGATTTAATCAATACATGATTAGTATTTCTACCAAAAAGGCGTAATCCCATTTATTTCATTATGAAAATGTTCTTTTAGCAAGAAATTTCACTTTATCCAAATTATAACGTTTAGCCATTTGCAAACAGTCCAAAAGCCCACAAGAAAATCAATAATCGTTATAAAACATCCATTGGACTATCTGCTATAAACTACATAAAAACATTTAATAGAAGATTCATAACAGATATTTTTTTTTTATTTTTTTTTTTATTTTTTTTTATTTTATTTTTTTTATTTTTTTATTTTTTACCCTCCGAAATGTTTATTGAAACAATTACATATATAGTATACAATAATACAATATATACATGCAATAAATTCCTTCCACTGCCCGAGGGCTTTTTTTTTTTTTTTTTTTTTGGAAATTAGGCTTGTAATGCCATGATATATGGAGAAAGTTGAATTTTTAAACGGGAAAGGAATTTTTAACAATTAAATTAAGATTGTAGGAATAAACAGGTCTTAATTGTAGAAACATTAACATTAAATTGATTAAACGTAAAAATCAAATTGATATCCTAGAAAGTAATGAATAGTCAAAATAAGGTTGTTTATAGTAATATCTATAATATTTATTTGAGCAAATGTAGACGCTTACAAATAAATTAATAAATATAAAAATATTAAATAACTAATTTATTTCTTCTTAATAATTAAATTATTAACTTTTATAACTAAATTATTAAAGGAAATGAAATAATTTATTTATTTTTTTTATTAAAAATATTACAATCTGTCTCAAGTACATTTATAATAGTGTTCAGAGATCACATTCACACTGTGTACAATAAATAAAATAAATTATACAGAAAAATAATATGTATAAATAAGAATAAAATAACCTAAAAATAAATAATTAAAAAGAACACATACATACCTATATACAATATCTACAATCTGGCGAGGGAACCCCCAGACTTGTCCTTCCAACGGTGGAGGGAAAAGAATGACTCCAGGAGATCTTTGTACTTCTCTCTTAACCGCGTCTCTGGGCTAAACCCAGTGGAGACTTTAAATTTTAAATTTAGAAAGTGTATGAATCTCATGTAATGGCAAATTTTAGATCACTATAATTTATAATCAATTAGTTTAATCTGAAGTAATTTTTACGTAATGCTATATGCTTGTGTAACATTTTTTAATAATGAAATCTCAAAAATAATGTTATTTACGAAAACGTTTGATGCTACAAATGTGTATGCTATTGAAGTGTCATTACCAACCAATCTCTGTTTTTAAACGAACATGTATTTTGTTTCATTGAAGGAAGTTGGTCGACTGTTACACACAGTCGACTACATATCATGGGTGATAAATATTCAGGAAGCAGTCTTTTTTTAAATAAAAGGCGTTCTGTATATTTATCATCCATGTATTTTGTTTCATTTATGTCCACTTATAAAGGATAACACAAGCTATCTTAATATCTATATCTATTATATATATATACATATATATATATATATATATATATATATATATATATATATATATATATATATATATATATATATCTATCTATATATATATATATATATATATATATATATATATATATATATATATATATATATATATATATATATATATATATATATATGAATTGCGATTTGACGTCATTACCAAGCAAAAAGCAGACCATCAGAGGTTAAGCCAGAAAAAATGGAGAAC